GGCGGTTTCGTGCAGTTGACGGTCGGAGGCTTTGTTTTTGAGGCCTGCAGCTTCGGGCTCGCCTAGCCCCAAGGGTCCAACAGGTTCTTCCTTAACTCCAATATATAAGGAAACCATTATAAGCAGCCCTAAAAGGTAGGTTATTCAGGGTTAAGGTTGGGTTCGGGGCCTTTCTTTTTTCTTTCGGGCAGGCTGAAGGTCCAAGGGACGTGCCTAAGGCAAACAAACACAGACGAATTCTGGAAACCCACGGGTGTCTGTATGCACTAGCACCGATTTACGTGAGCTGCGCAGAAATCAGACCTTCCCGAGGGGCGCGCGAGGAGCCTATACCCGGCAGCTACGCGAGCCAAAAGCCGTATCTCCAGCGCTCAAAACTCAAACATGCGAAGCTTAGGAACATAGCATCGACTACAGCACCACAAAGGTTCTACTATGTGCAGCAGAACCCGTAGCGACCGGCTACCAAGCACTCAACGTCCTGAGCCTATTCCTCCAGGGGCCGGGGGAGGCAAACTGCAAGACCAAACCCCACATGGTTGATTTAAATAAACCATGCCCGCTCCGACATACGTGCCGTGTACAGTGACAGCGTATATACAGACATGCATGCCGAGCAAACAACGAACAAGAGATCAGTTCACGGGGACCTGCGGCGATTGTCGCTCCGCAGCTCAACCCAGGTAGCACGGTCGTTTAAGCATACTGGCAAAGTAGGTGGTTTCCACAATGCACTAAGAAACAAGTCACAAGTGTTCTTGGCAAGGCTCACTTTTCGAGAAAGCTCTTGCTCCATAAGCGCCTCAACGGTCATCTTGCCATCCGTGCAGAGATCGACATCTTCCACAATGTCCTTCAAACCTTCAGTCGGAGCGAGGATGAACCGCGTTCCCGAGCGCATAGCCTCCATCTGCACATGTCTACATGGCTCCCACCTGGTAGCAGCGTGTAGTCGCGTCCGACGAGCAGTGCAAAACACTACGCTGTCAACACCAACCACCACCGCGTGCAGTTCGGTGCCTTCCAACAGCACCTCGAGGAGGAAGTCGCTGCCCATCTTGGCGACCAGCCTCCCGATGAAGCACATCAACCTGCAAAGTTTGCCAAAGAGGTGTGTGAATCCTTTTTTGTTTGTGTCTTCTCCGCAAGTCCGCACGGCCTCGATGGCGAATCCCACGTCACAAGAGGAGACTCTTTCCTTAACACCGTTCCGGATTCCTGCGCAGTGGCCCATCTTGAAGAGGAGCTCAAACTCCACACACTTGTCAGGATCTATCGTCTCATGATCTCCTGGATGCATATGTTCAGCTGCGGCAATGTCCCGTAACCGGCAGACGTGCCTTTTCCCCATGGGGCAATGATGCTAAGGCACTGGGGTCTGGGCGACGCGGTGCGCTGTTGCACCATTTGATCCCGACCCTGGTTCGGGGCCTTAACAGTTAGAATAGGGTCTGGGGGGATATTACTATGCTAGATCTATAATGAGGAAGACCCCAAACCCTATTCTGCTTATTAAGGCCCCTGCAATATAGTTCCCTTATTCTTGTATTCCTACAGTAGCCCCGTTAAGGACCCCTTGAAAAAGGAACCCCAAGTCCCATCATTAAGGCCCCTACACTAGCTGGCTTTTGTAACGGTTAGTATTTGGGAGACTGGGTCTTCCAACAGTAGCCTTGTGCCTTGCTTTTTTTTGAGGGGGGTGCAGGGTTTAGGGTGGGTGGTGGTGTCCCTCATTAATAAAAAGAAGCCATAAACCCTGAAACCATACGGCTGCAAGGCATATCTTGACCAGAATTCCCGAGCCGTCGGTAGAACTCAACCAAAACCCAACATTTCGTGAACCTCAACAACTCAGACTTTTTCTGTGCGCGCAGTGTCGAGACCCAAAGAAGGGCTCAGAAAGCAACCACATAATCATGTAGCCCAATTCTCAGATCATTCGGGTTCAGCGTGATGTGCAGTTGATAGTATAGTGTCTACCTGAGTGTGCCGGTTTTCCCACAGAGTTACGGATGAGCCGTGCCTACAACCCTTAGCCTAAACCCCTTAAGCCCCAAACCCTTAACCCTGAATCTTAAAGCCAGCCATGGCCTCCCTGCCGGCCAGAATTGCCTGCAGGCACCCAGAAAGCCCAAGACCCCTTAATTAAGGAATATGGCTTAAATGATACAGGGCTTCATATTATGATTTAAGCTATATTCCTGAATTAAGGGGTATCGGAGCCCCCTAAACCCTAAACATCCCTAAACCCTATCGATCCCTTAAAGGAACCCTAGGCCCTAGGTATATTCCTTAATTAAGGGACCCTGCATTGGGCTCTCTGGGCAAGTTTTCGGAGCTTGAGGCTGTAAGGTAAAAGCCAGAAAGTTGGAATATGATTATCCTAAACCCTTTATGGTAAACTATAAGGTATCCTACCCTGAAACCATATTCCAACTTTCTGGCTTCTACTGTAGGGTTAAGGGTTTAGAAGTTCTATAGGGGTTCCCTTAAGGGCTTAGGGTTTTGGGGTCTTCAAGTTCTATAAGGGTTCCCTAGTCCAACTTTCTGGAGTTCCCTGTAGGGCTTTGCGTTTCGAGTTGAGGGCTCCAATTTCAGGGTCTCTGGGCTTTTGGGATTCGACTTGGTGGTTCAGGGGTCGTTATAAGTGGGGTTCCTTTAAGGGCCCCTTTAAAGGGATCTATAGGGATTTCATAAGGGTATTATAGGGTATTAGGTATTACTTGGAGGTTCAGGGGTAGTTATAAGTGGCGTTATAAGTCCCCTAATATGGGTTTTCAGAAAAGCTACCCTAATTAAAAGCCTACTTATGACTATCCATGAACCTCCAAGTAGGGGGTAGGTTTCGGCTCTGTATTCCAGAGAGACATTCTGGAGCACTTCAAGCTGTGGAAATTTCTTTGGGGCCTTGGGGTCTTGGGGTTTTTGGGGATCTACCAGGATGCCCAGTAGTACCCTTATTCCCTTTTTGTAGTCCTAGGTTCCTTGTAAAGTTACCCAATACCAGAAACGGAGCCCCTTTATATTCCTAGGTTACTCGGCATCCTAGTCTATGGTTAGCATCCGTTTCTGTATTCCGAAGAGAACTTCTGGACCATTTCAGTTCGGTTTAGAGCTTCAGTGTCTTGGGGGGCTTCGGGTTGCTAAAGTCTTAGGGGTACTTAGCAATCATTTTTTATTGTTGGTTATTACAATCCCTAATGAACAGCTAAAATTGTAATTTTTGCTAGGGTTCTAAGTTCAGTTAGGCTTCGATATTGTTTTCCAAAGGCTGGACCACTCGATTTAGGCCCTCCTGTATGTAGGCTTGGTCTCCCGATTTCTTCAAAACCCTAAGGCTCCTAGGCAACGGGGTGTAGTTGAGGGTTCAGGGTTTAACTGAGAACGCTAACATTTCTTCGGGGTTCTGACTCTCTCATTATTTCGCCCGCCTGCACCATCCCAACACTCCACCTCGAAACACACTCACGCAAGCCATGACGGAGTTGCGAAGTTTTCTGGTGCTGGGGCGGCTTGACCGCATGCGGCAGTTGGGCGAGCTGCCTCGGGACTAATTCACGACGTCTCCAACATATTCGTGGAGAAAATGGCTATGCAAATGATGCGCTGGACAGTCCTCGAGAAACTTGTCCAACACCGGCGCCGGAAGAATGAATACCCATTTGCCCTTATCGCCCCTGTTTGACGATGGTATCTTGCACAGACCGAAATCCTGTATGATTATTACAGTCAGCCTAGTGTAGAATAGTAGAAAAAGTATATACTCTTATCGTCCCTTTAAGATTACAGTTGAAGATACTCCAAAATCCTATGTATGAAGGCTCCTGTATTGCTGCAACCCAAGGTCCCCCCAGCCGACAACATTCCTCTAGGCTGTTCGCGTCTTGAGCCTACCTTACATAGGGGTTTTAGGGTTCCGGGTTTAGGGTTTAGGATTTCGGCTTTAGGCTTCCTTCCTCTGGGTGACCGGAGCTCGGCGCTTTTGACTCGCTGGACACATCTCTTAAAAAGTAGATCGGCCCCCAGCCCCGAGCCGAAGCAATTGCCATGAACGCCTTCTCTTTGTGGAATACTAGGACCTAGAGTAGGCCCTTATTCCCTTTTTAAGGGTTCAGGTTCCCTTATAAGCCCCTTTGAACCAAAAAGGGCATCCTTTTTCCTCCTAGGTTACTCTTGGGTCTAGAATATGATATTGCGTTTTAGGTTGCATGTCGTAGGTAGGGTTTTCCTGAACACCGAATAACCAGCTTTCCAGTCCTGATTCCCTTATATAGGTCCTTAAGAATGTAGATTATATACGGTTCAGGTAGGGATCACATGTGGAATTGGCAGACTTCGTGCGTCCAGCGCGTTGCTCTCACTAGCATGCTACATCACCCCCCTGAGCCCCAACGCCAAAACTCATAAGACGTCCTCATATAAGTCCAAAAAAAATGTAGGAAATATGCGGTCCTGGTCCGGCTTATCTGTGACCCGAACCCTGCCAATTCCAGGTTTTGGTCCTTCAGTTAAAGTGTAGGACCCTCGAAAAAGGTATGTTATAGGAGCCGCAGGTAGGGTCTACCTAGACTCTGAAGAACCTACCTTTTTAGGGTTCCTCATAATGGTTTCCTTAAATAAGTCCTTAAAAAGGTAGGTTATTCCGGGTTAAGGTAGGGTTTAGGATAGCCCGCCTGAAACACTAATGTGGGGGCCTGAAACTGATTACCACTAGTTTATTGTATAACAAGGTTCCCGCAAAACCCTATTCTAATTAGGAAGCCCCCTATACTATAGTACTCTTTTAGATATAGTAGCCCCTATACACCCCTGTGGCAAGGGAACCCCGAGGACTTAGTAACTAGGGTTATAATTAAGGTATCTATACTTTCCATTCTTGCTATGTCCCATGTTCCTCCAAGTATACACCCGTTCTAAACCCCTAAACCCTAAACCCTAAACAAGGGAACCCCGATGAAACCCGTCTCAGAGGTCCAGTCGATGCCCGCAGCGTTGACAACATGGAGCTGCTCGGTCAGGCCCAGGGTGCTTGAATTTGAGGGTGTTTTTTGGCTTTTGGGCTCAGGGTTTCAGAAAGGGACGCTGTGGGGCCCCTGTTTTTCCACATACAAGGTTTTGCGATGTTTTGTGCAGGGTTTAGGGGTTTATTGTTTGGGGTTTAGGGTTTAGACATAGACAGAGAAGGGCCCTTCAATAGAGTCCTTATGGCCCTTAATAGTGGGTATTTGGGGTATATTAGAGGGTACTTGGGTGGTCTAAGTAGGCTTCAAGGTTTAGGCTTTAGGCTTTAGACATAGACAGAGGCTCCTAATTAAGACTTTTCGAGACGCAGTTACCTACTTTATGCCCAGTTCTCTGCCCGTTCAGCGGGACTCGTGGGATAAAAGGTACCAAGTGGTTAAATCAATATCCAGGGATTCATGTGCGCGAGTACGTACGTAACACTACATGCATACGTAAGTAAATAATTGCTTACATAAGTAGATAAGTTAATAAAGCTCTCCCCACGTGTGTGTGTGTGTGTGTGTGTATGTATATATATATATATATATATATATATATGTATGTATGTATATATATATATATATATTTGCACGCCGTTTTATGGAGATATCTACATATGTATATATCTGTATAAAGCTGAAGCTCCTATAGCTCCAAAATGACACACTTTTGCTTGTATACACCCAAGTGGGCCTGATCCCTAATCCTTAAAAGCAATGCAGTCTCTGTCTCTACCCGACAGCAGAGGTTTGAATAGTTAGTGAAAATGTTCCGTTATCGGCGATATCACGATATGACAGTTTTGTGAATGCCCAATATGGGTGGTTGTCAAAACTAGTGTCCCTTTCGGGTCCTTATTATAGTATGGCATCTATTATTTAGGGTACCCAAACAGGGGCCATAATGTTGACAACCACCCATATGATTGAGCCCTGAACCCTGTAAACCCTAAAGAATGAACCTTGAACTCTGAACCCTAAACCCCTGAAAGCTAAACCCGTAAACCCTAAACCTGTTTAGCACCCGAACAGCAGGTCTTCGGTCGCACTCCAGCGGAGCCCCCGCAGGAAGACGATGCCTCTGAAGTTGTGTGAGCGAGAGTTTAGGGTTCAGGGTTTGCGACGAAGGGTTTCGGGCTTGAGGTTACGGTTGATGGTAGTTGGTTGTAGAGTCTGGAGTTTTGTGGGCTGGAGTTTGAGTTTTTGTTTTAGGGCTTAGGCGGTTGATTAAGGGTTACCTTGTGGGCCTGAACTGGGTGCCGTAAGAGTTCTACATTTTCCGAGGGGTCTTTGGTCCTTGTTTGATTTGTTACCGTCTCGTGCGCAAAATTTGTGTTTTGCTGATCTTCTGTGGCGAGTCGAGTTATGCCGGTCGGAATACCTACTGACTAACCGTATTGTTGGGATTCCCTGTGAAGTTTGATTCTAGTAAGACTTCATCGTACCTATATGAGGGTCATTTTAGTGAATTCCGATTTCACTAGTCTCAGAAGTGTCTTTTGGCTTCGCTTGATCAACCCCGACCCTAAACCCTTAGCCTTAACCTTTAATTCCAAAACCCTTACACCCTAAGCCTGCTGTAGTCAGCTTATACAACCGACGGTAATTACCCCTTAACGTAGCCCTTTCAAACACCCTGGCCCTGAGCTATAGAATCTAAACCCTAACACTTGGGTGGTTGTCAAAATTATGGTCCCTATTTGGGTCCGTATTTTAATTCGGCACCTAATATTTGGGATACCCAAAAAGGGACTTCAAATTTTGACAACTACCCACTGGGCTCTCAAGCGCTTCCGCCTGGAAGCACCCCATGGCTGCAATTCTTTATTACGATAATACAGGGGCCTTAATAATTAGAATAGGGTTTTGGGGGATATTAATTCGACTATAACCATAAAAAGGAACCTTCAGAAGCAGCGGTTTTGGTGGTTTAGGGTTCCCGCTCGTGTGCTTTCATTTTGGGAGGCTCTCCTCCTGCTAAAACCTGAGAACAGGACCTACCTGAACCCCAAATAACCTACCTTTTTATGGACTTATATATAGAAATCATTTTAGGGAACCCTAAAAGGTAGGTTATATGGATCCAGGTAGGGCGTCGCGGAAGTTACAGTAGTTCCTCCGCGACCAAGAAACTCTGATAACACCTCATATCTCCTGTCTCATAAGGCCAATAAGGCCGTTATGAAGTCCCGTCGGAGAAAGATAACGATACTAGAACAACATATAGCCTTGGCCCATGAAGGCAAGCTTCAAACACAAAGCTTCCAAAAACCCAGCAAGACCTCGTAAAAAGAAAAACTTTTGCAAACATGTACAGACCATTTGCTATACTAGCCTTGCAAAGGCCTCAGAATAAACAAGAAAGAAAAAAAAACAAGTAGCCATTCCCCCTCGCCCCCCCTCCCCAATGTTAAGCCCTAAATCCGGACGAGGAGACGAAAAAGGCGCTCTCCGAGGTCACCGATCAGGTCCTTGAGACCTATCTTGGGAAGACCTGGAGGAGCCTCCCTTTGGTTTAGGCTTTTTTGGGGTTTGGGCTTTTGATTTGTATGTTCCAGACATATATGCTTTATGGTGTTGGTTGTGAGGTTTATAGAGGGTTTGGAGTTTCAAGAGTTTGGGGTTAGAGGGGTTTCGGCGTGTGGGAATACTTCATGACCGTCCCTACAAAGTCTTTCCGTGCTGGTACGGGAACAGCACAATTCCAGGATCAAGGCGGCAACATTGCCATTCATGTCCCCCTAAACCCTAAACCTAAACCCAAAATCTCTAACCCAAAGCCCCTCAACCCCAAGCTTTAAGCCCCTCAACCCCCTCGAAGCCCCAATCCCCCAAACCCCTCAACCTCTCAACCCTAAACCCCAAAACTTAACACTTGGTGCTTCATGGGTAGTTATAAGTAGGCTTATAATTAGGGTAACTATACTTAAAACCCATATAAGGAGACTTATGACCCCACTTAGAACTACCCCTGAACCTCCAAGTAACTTCCCACCCCGGAACCCCAACTCCCACGGCGCAGAGGAGAAGAGCCTTTAAGCATCTGACCTTCCGAAGCGAGGCTTGAGCTGGATCCCGTACAGGGAGGATCATGGGACTTAGTAAGTAAGATGAGCCTTAGGGTTTCTGGTTCCTTTAAACGGGATCTGTAAGGGTTCCGATAATGGGATCTATAAGGGTTTAGGGTCTACTTGGAGGATCATGGGACTTAGTAAGGTTCCTTTAAGGGCTCCTTAAAGGGATCTATAGGGTTCTTTAAAGGGATCTATAGGGCTCCTTAAAGGGATCTATAGGTTTCCTTAAAGGGATCTATAGGGTTTAGGGATTAGGGTCTACTTGGGAGGATCATGGGACTTAGTAAGTAGGGTTTGGGGTTCCTTGTAAGGGTACTATAGGGCTCAATAATAAGGTTCCTTAAAGGGAGCATGGGAGGATCATGAGACTTAGTAAGTATGGTTGTTAGTACCTTAATTGGGGTTATAAGTCATTGTATCTATAGTTACCTTACTTATGACTTATGACCCTATAGTTCCTAAGTCCCATGATCCTCCAAGTATTTCCGTAAGGGTAGCTTAATCTCAGGTGTACTGTAGACATGCTTTTTAGACTTAGTGGTTGCTATAATCCCTAAGAGAAGCTATAAATTTGATTTTTATGATTTAGATTCATTTATTTTAATGGTTGCTATCATCCCGAAGGAAAAGCTAAACTGATGATTTTTGCGAGGGGTCTAGGTTCAGTATAGATAATTGGGCATGCTTTAAGGGCAGCATGGGGTTTCAAGCTCCCCCGACACCCGAAGGCCCAAGACCTTGAACCTTCGATTACAGCTAGTCCGTATCCTACAGTTACCAAAATGTCGCCCCAAGCCCCATTCCCCAATTGTCCTTTGGTCTGCCAATACTGCAATACACCCCAAAGCCCTTTTTCTAATTACAACAGAAGACCCGATTTCATCCGAGGAGCCCGCAAGGCTTTGGCTTTCAAGCCTACATATTCTATTACACGATGTTACATTGTAAGCGTCGACGTAGAACAAATGATCTTCAACCTTCTTTTGGTACCATAGCATATTGGACAAGTGGGTAACAGTGAGACGAGAGTTTCGGCTTTCTCAGTGCAAGTACATAGATCGAAATCAGCACAGGTCTACCGTAAGAGGTTGAGCATTCTGAAAACCTGGCCCTACAGCTCCAAGTGCCCAACAATCAGTTACTCTCGCAAATGTGAAGCTACACGACTGATTAAGACAAGAGTGCTGGGAGAAATTAGGGGCACCTTATTTTGGGGTCCTTATAATCAGGATCCTACTATATAGGGTACTATATTAGGGTCCCCTACTTTCGGAAACTCCTATATAATTACCGGCTCAACACCACAACATGCTACGTTTCTGCGTTGAAGCCGTGTCTGACAGACTTAGTTCCGAGTGAGTTGAGGGTAGCGTGCATACCGCCGGCAACTTCGCGCCATAAACCACCCTCTCGAAACCCCAAGCCCTAAACTCTGAACACCTTGCAAAGAATTGTCCCATTTCATCTGCCCCCACTTCCCCGGAATGCCCGACAGCCAGCCCCCATACTCTATGTCTCAGTATATAGGGCTCAAAATAGCCCGAGAGCCTTACGAAGCCTGAAAAGCATGAGTCCTTAGAGTTTTCGGGATACAGAAGCCTGAGTAGTTGGTGAGACTGTTCCTTCAGGTTACTTAAATCAGAGTTGTACAGTAAATGAGCCGCGAAACCCTCCTCCAATTACAAGGTCCCCACAGAACCCGGGAACGAAGCCCTGCCATCCCTTAACCCTAAACCGTGTAGAAAGCCACATCGCGAACTTTCTACGGAACTTCAAGCAGTGTAAAAACTTCAAGCCGTGTAGAAACTTACCCGTCCTAGTTACATGTTCCCAAAGCACCCAGAAGATCTTGATCAAGTCGTATCCTAGCCCAAAGCCCGACCATAAACCAAAAGCTCATGCACCCTGTAAACCCTATGAGTCCGAAACCCTTAAGCGACTTGAAGAGGAGAATTACGGGGGAGCAACCGTGGACAAAAAGCCCCACACCTATCTAGGTTCCTGAGTGATACCCGCTTTAAGGGGTTACTTAAAGGGTTCTAAGTTCTAATTGTAAGGGATCCTTAAAGGGTTCTATACGGCATCTACAGGGGATAGGCTCTACTAGGCTCCTGAGTGGTACCCTTTTGCCCTATTTGTTTTAGGGGCCCCTTGTTCAAGCCGAATCGTAGGAACAAGGGTACCCTTATTGTAACCGAGCTAGTTACTGAAAACCAAGCAATAGAATAGAACTTACGGTTTTTCCGGTTGTGGACAGGGAAAGCATGGAAGGAAACCTATTAAGAAGGTCTGTTATTTCGGGTTCACGTAGGGTTAGGCCTTCTAGGGTTTAGGAACACTGCAAGCACTTGAACGTCGTCGTTGTTCACAGCAAAAGCCAGGCCTACTTCTGCTAATCCCAGGATGCACGTACCCGTCGCAACCGAGCTCTTCGCAGCCTCCGCACTCGTCGCAACCGAGCGCTTCGCAGCCTCCAGGGGTCAGCGTCGTGCTGATCTTCCTAGAGGACATCAAACCCCAAAACCTACTTCTCCGGGCTGGCGTCCTCCTCGTCTCTGACTTCGGCTTGAGCCACAGGGGCTTGTGTCCACCAGTTTCAGCCTTTATGAGGGCTTGGCGGAGCACAGAGCATGCCAACATCCCGAAATCCTTGCACTCTGCGCGAGTAAATCCTGAAACGCAAGCCCTAAACCCGAGCAAACAACGTACAACCAAGTATCAGGACCTGAAACCCCAAGTGGTCCAAATAACAGTATAGTGTCTGCAAACCCTATAAACCCTAAACCTCTACATTGGTATTTAGACTCTTTGGGAATATCCCTAAACCCTAAACCCTGAACCCTGAACCTCTACATTGGTACTTGGACTCTTTGGGAATATCACCAAACCCCAAACGATGAACTTCTACATTGCTACTGGGACTCTTTGGGAATATCCTAAACCCTAAACCCTAAACGTCGACATAGGTACTGGGACCCTTCCCCAAAGGGTCCTATGTACCGATATAGTAGAGTTTAGGGTTTCCATATTAGGAGTTACTATTATGAGTTAGGGAGGTATCCCCCATAACAGTACGTAGGACCCTTTGGGTTCGGGAAGCGGAAGAGGTCTTTGACTTGACGTCGATCGAGGGCCTGCTCCGATGTCGCGTGGCGCGAGCCCCGGGGAGGAGTTTAGGGCTTAGGGTTTTAGGGCTTAGGCTTCAGGGTTTTAGGGTTTAGGGTTTTAGGGTTTAGGGCTTGGGTTTGACAATGCCCCTACTACAAGCCGGGCCTAAATATTTACCTATCCTATTTCTTGGGTCTCCTCATTATAGTTACAGTATAATATGGGAGTTTCCGAAAATAGGGGGCCCTGACATAGTACCCTAAATAGTAGGGTCCGTATTACAAGGACCCCAAAATAAGGGCACGAGTATGTAGAACCATGGCCGCTTGTAGGTTTAGTTCTAGGTAAACCCTTCTAGGTAAACCCGAAACCCTATCGAACGTATCCCACCTAAAGGGTCCGCGTGATCTTGATTTCAGGTTGTGTTGGCGCCCATCTCGGACCCACCGTCCAAAAAAGAGGGAGCACTGGGGCCTTTGGGTGTATGTTATCTTGTTATCCTAGGTAGGCCTTCGGGGCAGTTTGGATTTTCACTTGTTGGGCTTAAGAGGATCTTATCTGCGAGTATTTTCAGTGGCTGGGAAATTATATGGCAATACACTAAAATCACCACAATCTGACCCTATCCTGTACTATAGTAGAGTAACTAATTACCGCAAATTGCATGGGGGGGCGGTCTTGTCTCAAGCCTAAACCCGTTTCTAAAACATATCTCAAGATAATGATATGGATATAGAGCCTAAATCACCAACAGTCCCCTAGGGTTCCCTAGTGTAGGTACAGTATAACTAGGTAGCCCAGAAGTCCCCCTTTGTCTTTTTGTGGGTTCTGTTTTTTCTACAACCGGATAAGTAGGAAAAAGGGTGCCCCTGGTAGCAAGAGGCGATTAGATAATATAATTACACCCAAACCCTACTATTCTGTTGGATGGGATCAAGGCAATTCTCCGCATTGAGACAGGCTCCAAGCGGCGCGAGCGACCTTGCGCAGGGTCTTTCGGTTTCAGGGGTTTCGGGTGTAGGGTTTTAGGGTTTAAGTTCAATTTTTATAAACCCTACCTGGGCCCTATAATAAAGGACCGTCTCTTCAGGGCTCCTTGTTAAGATTTCCCTATATAAAACCCTCAAAAGCATAGACACAATCCGGGTTCAGGTCAACTAAGTCAACTAGACTGTAAACCTTCGTGTCCACGGCCCCGTTTCCGAAACCATAGAATACTGCTTGTAATAAGCGTGATATGGTTAAAGTGCTTAAACGTGGTAGGAATAGTGACAGTAACAGTCATAGTAGGAATAATATCGTAATAATGAGCAGAGCAGCTGTATTCGTAATGATAGCAATATGCATATTAATCAGCCGCCGGTTGCCGAGGATCTGACATTCCTAGAGAGCCTGGATGCCACTCGGCAAGCCTCCGGCCACTTCGGGTTCAAAGCCTTTGATTTAGGGTTTAGGGCTTAGAAGGGTTTAGGGTTTATATAGGGTTTAGGGCTTAGGGCTTTTGGGTGTTTCAGGTTTGGGGCTGTAGGATCTGAGGTTTACTGTTTGGGCTTCGGGTTTAGGGCTGGGGGCCGGGGGTTCCTGAAATAACGCCAACACCTGGATTCCAGCATTCAGACACACAGAGACGAGCGTAGCGCACCTGAACTGGGCTCGTAGCCCGCCCAAGGCGCCCAGGTCGCGGGCCAGAGGGCCCCCCGAACTCACAAGCCAACACGCTCGCTGTGTTGAGGAACCTCTTGAACCATCTTAAACCTCAAGCCATGCACTGCTTACTTGCGGGTTAGGACAGTAAGTCACCCTAAACCCTGAACTAAGGCAGCGGAAGTCATGAGAAATTCGGCAATTAAGAAGAAGCAAACCCCAAGCCATGATCACCAAGGCCCGCACCCCGCCAAAGCACCCTTGTCAGCCTTTCGCAGCGGGTTTAAGGTTTAGGGTTTAAATAGGGTTTAGGGTTTGGGGTGGGGGGGGGGGGGGCAATGTCCGATGGCCCGAAACCATGAAACCCGCAAGGCATGCACATCTCACCCTCTACCCGACCGCCCCCGCCCCAAACTCCCCGCCCCACCCCTCAACAACAAAAGAAAACACAGCACACGCAAAGGTCAGCGAAAACTCGCTGACAGAGTTAGCCTGCATCTCCGGGGAGAGCCTGCCGGACGGCCAAGCAAAGCCTTCAGGGCCCAGTAAGTAGGCTTCTACTTAGTTCTTCAATACCCAAACTGTTAACCTGCTGGGGTTCTTATATATAGTTTAGTAGTAACCTGAAAGTTTAACCTTGTATTTCTGTGGCTTATTGGGGGAGTAAGTCTATAGCCACCTTAATCAACAAGAGCCTACTTGCTCGCAGGGTCCCAGACTGACTATTAAAGACAAGCTAGGATGCACGGTAGTACCCTTATTCCCTTTTTGTAGTCCTGGGTTCCTTATAAAATTACACAATAGCAAAAAGGGAGCCCTTTTTAATTTGATTCCTAGGTTACTGGGCATCCTGGCAACCCAGTATGTACGTGTCAGAGTCCCGGGATTCGCAGCCAGACTTGGATGCGCGAGCTTTAGTATGAATGCTTTCCTGACTGGAAGAAACCCCATGCAGTACCTATGGACTTCGTGTTGTGTCCCGAGATCCAGGGGGAAGATATCCACACGGGCAAGTTTCCAAGAAAAGTAGAGGCATATCTAAATGCAAAGAGGCACTTTTTCTGCGGAGCCCCTAAAGCCTGAACCCATAGCAGAATATCCTTGAAAGAGCACAAAGACAAGGCTCGTGATCAACTCGGGTTGGGAACACTTCAAACCGACGTCCAGCTTACTGATTTAGGCTTTAGGCTTTAGGGGATTTAGGGTTTAGGGTTTGGAGGATTAAGGTTTTACACACGTGCATACATCTGCTGGGTTTGAATTTCTTGGGAGGTTCAGCACGTCTTTTCAATGTGGAACTAGTCGAAACCTAACTTGAACATGTGCGCAGTTAAGGGTTTGCACGCCGTGGGAAACCTTAAAGCTTAAGCCCAAAGCCCTTTTCAGCCTTGAACCCTCCACTGACTCCACTGAAGCTTTAGCGTTCGTGGGTGGTAGCTGCTGAGGCCTCGAGATTGGGGTGCTGATTGCAAAAGCTTTGCCTGGGGATCCAAAAACCTACAGTTTCAAGGCTTCGACCCTCTAATGAGGGGGTCATAACCCAATGTAGGGTTTGGGGTCACAGGTGGGGGATGGAGGAAGTCTTTGATGGGCTCCTAGGTTTAGGATTTAGGGTTGAATTGTTTTCAGGCTGCGTATTATGATTTCCTTGAACGGATTATGTATGCATATATACAAACATTGATACGAGTGCAGGTGTTTTGGAGCTAAAGCTTGGATTTAGTCTAGCACGCTCTTTCTCCATTTTTGGATTTGGTTTGCCCACACCGGCCAGTATGTAATTCTGAACAAGCCATACATTGACCGGCTTTTGGTGATTCTTAGAACTGTAGGTTGTTTGCGGTCTGCGGGAAGGATCTAGTCTCGCGCGCTCTTGAACTTACCGTTTTAGTCTATGTTGCCCGCACCGACCGATAATTGATTTTGAGCAGACCGCGTGTTGATGGCATTTTGTAGAGTCCTAGTTGTTCCGAAGCACTGGAGTTCAACCACCCTTTTTGCTCCAGGCAGAAACCCCAATCCGTAGACCCTCAACCCATCTACCAAGAACCCGAAACCCTGCCACTGATGCCTGAGCTTTATAATCGGGAACCTCAAAATCCCAAGTAGCAAGACCCCTGCCCCTCCGAGCCCAACAGGTCCACATATCTAACAGCCAGAAACTGCCCGAAGTATTAGCCTACATTACTACTATCCTAAACGCAAGTTCCTAATTCTTGAGCCCTCAAGCTAACCCAAAGCTCCAAAAGTCTTAAACCTCCTATGTATGCATGCATGTATGCATGAAATATATATATATATATATATATATATATATATATATATGTATATATATAAAAATACACGGACATATATACATATATATATACACACGGACACTAAAAGTTTGGAAAATGCGTGTCAAAGTGGGGTAGAGCCATGGCCTCTGACGAAACTCCTCCGCAGCTGGTGTTTTGCACCAGCGACAGCTCGGAGAGTGAGGAGGAGGTTTGCGTAGATGCAGCCTCCTTGAACATTACAGCTTCCCGACCACCTGGAGTTTTGGGATCATCGGGTTTAATTGTACCTCAACCCTCCAGAACCTACTTTTTCGCAGGGTCCTCATAAAATCTGTATTAGGTCTATGATAAGAACTAGGTTTTTGGTAGGTTTAGGTAGGTCTTAGGGTTACAAAGCGTTTCCTGTACTGTCTTTTCCCGCTGCTTGTGTGGGCATCTTCCAGAAACAGGCGACGCGCAAGCTTACTATAGGAGCTTCAATAATTTCAAACACTATTTTGGGGGTTCCTGTTTATAAGTATAGTATGATGCGAAACCCTATTATAATTATGAAGACCCCTCTATTACTTACACTAGTATGGTTACCTCAACCGCTCTGCCGATATACTTGTCATTTGTCTTTGTGTCTTAGGCAGTGCACCGCTAAACTCCTGCACACCTACATCCCCATCGCCTCAGATCCTAAACCTAAGTAATCTACCAGGACCCAGTCCCCTTTAATATCACCCGTTTGGTCCTTAATAAAGGGGTATGATAGAAGGTAGTTGGGGGGAGGTCTAGGTGGAACTAACGTAGGATCCTTACTTGCCCAGACCCCTAAACCGTAAACCCTCACTCGGAAAAAGATACTTAAAACAAGCCTTAAACCCTAAAACCCTAAACCCTAGAATGTAGAATTCAGAGCTGCTGGAGCCTATGCGACTAAACCGTTTTTTGTTGGAGGGGGGGGTACTACAGGGTTTCCGTTTAAGTATACCACACCTCCCTAAACCCTAAACCAAACCCAAACCCTACATGGATCTACTCCTAGAGTTCTTGGTAGCACGCACCTTGATGGATCTATATACTTACCCTAAGGGTCCAAAAGACCCAATAATTAGGTACTCGGGTTTAGGATAGTAGTTATGTAGCTCAATATTTAGGAGAGTATATGATTATTAGGTACTTGGACCCTTCTTTGATTCTCGCAGGGGTCTAGGCGTACTTCAGGACATTCAGTCATGTACTATTGCTAAACCAGTACCTTTAACATGAACTGCCTGCTGATGCGAAAATCAAGAGCCCTAAACCCTTCGAAACCCGAAGCCCTGAACCCTAAACCCGAATTAAGCCCTAAACCCAAACAGCTGTCAAGCCCAAGGTTAAAGACGTCGCCGGTTTGGTGGCTAACATGGAGCCGGTCGACCCCGACATCTTAAGAGCAACGCCAGCGTGGTTGGTGCTGAAATCGGGTGGTTCAGCGCTGAGGTGGGGGGGTTTAAGGTTGGCGACTGAAGGTTTCATCTTTTGGGCTGGGGGGAGGGAAGGGGGGGGGGGGGGGGGGTTGGGGTTCGCAGTCTCAGATTTATAATCTGTGGGGGGGGAATTTAGGATTAAATAATCTAGAATTTCAGTTTGCGTAGGCGTTTGGGAGCTCAGGAGTTTAAGCGCTTTCCTACAACCTTAAACCTTGAACCCTTAAACCCTTCATCCCTGAACCACCGCCTACATTCTAAACCTGCTAAACCCTAAGGTCTGTGTGCCCATATTGAATATACTTTGGCCCTTGAAAGTATCCCTATAGGGACTGCTTTTAGCCCCAAGGTGGACCGCCCTAGGATTCAACAAAAATCAAGAGGTCGGGTTCCATAGGCGTTTGGGAGCCCTGAACACTGAACCCTTATAGAAGGCTAAACCGAACCCTAAAAACCCGCCCAAAGGAAACCCTAAACCCTAAACCGAACCAAAAGGAACCCTAAGGTGGACCGACCGTGATCTTCATCAATACAGCCAGCCAGTTGAGTCTGTGGAAATTTTCTGGAGTCACAGCTGGCATGGCAACTTCGCTTTCTACCAGGATCATTACCTATACCAAAAAGCTAACACCTTTACGAGGTAGGCGCTATTACGGATTGGGGTAATCCAACCAAGTTAGCCTTTGCTTTCGTTGCTTCTTTAATTCCCGTGCTGTTTCCCTGCCTAGTTTACCCCGCTAGCGCACAGGCATCATGCAGTTGGTCACTCGAGTGATGCGACTTGTTCTTTGGGTTTTCGGGGTTTTATCATTCCTTTGCCTCACCATGGGCCCGCGGGCGAAGTGGGAATCTACCCCTGATGTTCCTGGCTTGAGACTGGCCTACCCGGAAGAGATCCAGCAACCACTTTCAGTAGACCAGGTTTCTTCTGAAACATTTCCAGTGCAGCAGCTTCACCCTTCAGCATCCGGAATCACATTCGCAACGTTTGCAACCTTCGAGAAGATCTCCAACATCAGAACCAATGGAGCGTGCTTGGTCGTTCTTGCGGGGTATGTTAAGCCAAAAGTCATGCGACTAGCTGTTGAGGATACACGGATCATTTCGACAACCATCACAGTCAAAGACGTCATTCAAGGATGCGAAGAAATGCGAGCAGCAACACTAGTCAATTTGGCTAGGGACAGTGATGATTTCTTTACCATTCCGGAGTCGGAATCCGCAGTGGAGGTATCCCACATTCAAAGGGTAGCGGTCTTCGCAGAGATTCGCCAGTGCGATGCAACAGAGGAGGATTGGGCCACCTTCGGTGACGTTGAAGCCTTTCACAGCTACGTTTGCCAAATTCTGGAGCACCACTCTGATTTGTCCAGTGCAGTGCTCTACAAGATCTTTCAGCGGGAGGGTTATCTTTGCAGACGCATGCAGATCCCTACAGTTCACCGAGATGCCATCTACGCGCAATCAGGTTTCAAGTCTGTCCAGTTTCGTGCAGTGCGTAAACCTGACGATGTTCCTGAAACAGGGTTGGAGGTCATGAAGATACCGTCTCAGGACTCTCTTGTTGATGCAGCGTCACGGTTTCAGGCAATTCATGGTGGTCTAGGGTGTTTCAAGTCGCAGAGTGCTCTTTATTTTCGGGTACGGGATGATTCTATTCAGACGGCTCGTGAAGTCATCTTCGCCGATGATGAGAGGTTCACTCCGTTTAACATCGCAGCCAAGTGCATTTATCAGTACAAAATATTCGGCTTCCCGGCTGGAACCTCCATGAAAGAGG